TCTTTATAATAATTTTAAAATAGATTTTAAAATAGATTTATTACAAATTTTAGAAAAATTTATTATTCAATACTCAAAACAAGAATTCATCTTTTCTAAAACATTATACAATTCTCGAAGAAACTACTTTACGTAAGCTATTTTATATAAGTAAATTAAATTCGGTTTAATTTAATAATCTTAATTGAAATATATATCAAACTTATATATTGTTAGTTAGAATTTATAGAAAATATTTTGAATAAATTTGATACTTGTAACGAATTTTCATAATAGATTTATGAATGGATATATAAACTTATAAAATATTTAATATTTTTATGTATAAATTAATATTTAAATTACAGTATGTATTTTTCTGTCTAAACAAATTCTCTCAATCATTACGGAAATTTAGATAAAAAAACAGTTTGAAAATGGGAAGCGAAAGAATTATCGAATGTGGTCTTCGATGTGATTTCTAAATTATATTCGACTTTCGTGTAAAATTTGATGAATACTTGAAAAACACGAATATCATTTGAGAGGCACTATACTGCTATTTTTGTGGTCATCTTACCTCACGCCCCACTATCAGTTTCATCGAGAAATGACGTAACATGCATATTTGTCAACATACCAACCAAAAATTTATCAATAAGAGAGAGATCTTCGTATTTAGCAGGTTTCTCGGCAATACTATATAAAAGGCGTCTCCTCAATTTCGATTTTATAACGGGATACACAGTCGTGATCAGCATCATGAAGGCTCTGGTAAGTCTTAACAAAATTAATAAAGAATTAATTCACGCTATCATTAATTTTTTGTTTTTATCATACAATTTTTTAAAAATACCAAATGTTGTTTACACAGATAAATCTATTTTAAATTAACTACTGTCAAGAATTACAAATGTTGATGTCAGTTATAACAATGCGAGTGATTATAAAATCTGAAATTAGTTATATTTTAATTAAAGAATATTGTGTAATTCATTTTATTCAAAATTCTATTCCTCTTCTCCGAGATAGTTCTTGTAATTTTGAATCAATCAGAAAAAAAGAAACAATTTTTTTCAGACCGCCACACTTCTCTGCGTGCTCGCAGTGACTGCATTTGCTGCACCTCCGCATTCTTTGCATGATACTTTCATCCCCATCGTAGCTTCGCAGCAGGACGGACCAAATCCTGACGGTTCATATAGCTATGGCTACCAGACCGGAAATGGCATCCAAGCACAGGAGCAGGGTCAGCTTTTCAATATCGCCAAAGACGAGGACGCTCTTCGCGTTCAGGGATCTTTCAGTTATACTGATAACAACGGCATTCCCATCAGCTTGAGCTACAGCGCCGATGAAACTGGTTTCCATCCTCAGGGCGAGCATCTGCCAATCGCACCTCCAATCCCTTCTGCTATCGTGAGAGCCTTGGAGTACAATGCCCAACATCCCGAGGAAGACAACCTGTAGAAGCATTATAGTAACGTACAGACTATTCAGACTGAAATTTTATCAGTAATCCTTCGATCTTAATATTATATGCAAAATTATGTACATCTCCTACTGTTGATATAAAAATACGCGAGGTGTGAAATATAATATACTTATTTAGACGAAGAATTCAAATCAAGAGAGAGAGACAAATTGCCAAATTAGGATGATATTTTTCTCTTATCTATTTCACAATAGTATGTATGTAGTCTCATTTGTCATGCTCAAAATAGTAGCTACATTGACAATCAAATATTAATCAAATATATATATA